AATTCAAGATATCATCTTAGCAACGAGGCTGGAATCATTTTAAATCTGCAGTGTACCGCCGACTGTGCACTAAGGATGCATAAATTGCGGACTGACCTTTCAAACGGGCCGTATTTATAGAACTGGTCTAATCTCGTTGAAATATTGATATGAGCCACTAAATTTCATGCTAATGAGAGCCGAGTACTCCGCGTCTGTCGTGAGTCGTTGTGGTAATGATCGCTTACCTCCGTATATTTGCAACGGCCGTATTTCGAGATGTTATGCGTTTTACTTGTGAGAAAGTTGTTGACACTTTCTTTCAAAATACTTACATCTTTTGTTATTTAACTATTAGCCGACTAATTTAAGCAATTTAATTTATTTATTCATTTTAAATTCCTGAATGCAATGTGAATAAGGCTTGTCTTATTTTAATATAAAAGCATATAAGATACAGCAAAGGGAAAGTTCATTTTTATTCTGATTTAATCTTTTTCTATAGAACTAATGCCTAGTCATACTAGCTTCTGGTCAGAATCGTCTTTCTCGTTGCTTATATAATTTATTGCAATAAGCAAAACAAAACACATTATAAATATACATTTAATTTTATGTGCTGCCATAAAATTATACGAAGTTATCGGTGAGTACTTTCACAGCGAAATAATCACGAAACACAAACTACAATCCTTCGCAGTCGGAGCCAACTGCGCCCCGCTAAATATGTTACAATTTTGAAATAATATTTAATGGAATCCTTATTAATTCTTCGACAATTATTTCAACTTGCAATTTAATGGAATATAAAACAAATCAAAATGCCATTGAAAAAATTCTCTCTATCTATATCCATTTTTTTTTACTTTTTTAAGTATTTTTGTTTTTGATTCAGCCACAGTGCAAAAAAAAACTCTATGGCATTATGTCCAAGGTTACCTACACCTTGATTTCCTGAGTCATAGAAAACTAATTAAGCTCTGAACTGTCAATTACAAAGGTTATGAACATAAATTAATATCAGAATGAAATGAAATAGATTTCCAAACTGCACCAATATATCAAGTACATATCTAAATGCCATCCCAGCCCGTTAAAGCGTAATCGAGTTCGGCACGAATTTCATGAAATATCAGGGAATGTGACAAATGCTAAATATTTTAAAACTATCGTATTTCAATTAAATTTATTAAAATAACCTTTGCAAGCATTTTATCTGAACTAATAAAAACAAAATTTATCAAAATGTCACTTTATATTTCATAGAGCAATCAAATTTTCAATTTATAATCTGTGATGTTGAAGAAATGTCAATCCGGCAAAGATGTCGCAAAGGCAAAGGTTGATTGAACATAATCTGACACATCTCACAAGACACAAGCAGATTCAAACGAGTCATTATGTCATGCTTGTTGCATCTATGGGCCAACATCTTGACATATGATCGACTGGAGATCGTGACACTTGTCATATTACAAAATGCACTTGTCAGTGACAAGGTACCATTCCAATATTGAATACGTAATGTTTCACTCGTATATCAAATGCATCACAAATTCAGATTGATTGTTGAGTAGTTTGTTCTGACAACATCATTTATTTGGTTGCTATTGGAATGTTGTAAATTTGAATCGTATTAAACACAAGGTTTGGATATTAATGTAATCTGTAAATGTACCATAAAGGTAGATATATGATATACAAACTGTTGCATGCAACTCCATCCGTGTGGAGTTAGATAAAACTTACTTAGTAGCCTATGTGCTCTTCCACACTATGTTCTACATCCATGTCAAATTTTATCGAGATCCGTAGATCAGTTCCGAAGATGCCTTCTAACAAAAAACCATCCATCCATCTAACTATTCGCATTTATAATATTAGTAAGATGGATGGAAAGTAGTACACATTCTGCCAACCCTACGAAGGAAAAAGACTGATGATGAAGTTTACAAACGTCAATTAAAATCGATTGTACTAGTTACTTATAATAAAAAATAAATAGATTCTACATCCATAGAAATTTACTGAAAACAAAAACTCAATTTAAAGCTTAATTAAAGATCCTGTCGTGAGAAAACTTTAAACATTATCACAATATCAGAGTAACAGCTGGAAACGCTACAATCCATATAAGTAGCGAGAAGTCATGCAACAAACAAAATGAATAACACTGAATCTACTGAGTACGACTTAATGCGTCCGCGAGTCCCTACCATACAAGGCAATGAAGTATAGGGATGGGCGTTGATTCAACGAACTATTGATTCAACCATTAATACCCCTTCAACGTATCAACCGTTAGCCGTTTGCATTCAACTATATAGTTGAATATAATGTATACTTTACGTAGCCACTGGTTCTTTTTCGAGTCATTTATTGAATGTTATGGCCGCACCTCAATTAGTTGAAAACAGCAACTGGTTACAATTAAAAAGTAAAATTAATGTTACGTTTCGTTGAAACAAAAAACCACGAACGGCCCATCTCTAGAAATCACCCGCACAAGATTTAAATTCAGACGTAAATCTACTTATAACGAGCTATTAGTTGCCTCTAGCTTTTGTTTCGCTTCGATTTACTTTTCCATCGTTAGTTTGTATGGCACTTTAATCGACACTAATGGCGGAAATTAGATAATTTATTGTTTTACCGTTTTCATTTGTTTACTCTGTTATAGTCTGCACAAGTTTTAATGACATTTAACGTTTACGAAAGATTTAATCGTGTCCTTTTGAGCGAGCAGCAATTGAAAGAAAAAAGTACCAAAAAATTGTAGAAATTACCGATGCGTTCCATACTTTATTACAAAGAAAGGATCAAGGGACGGACTGGGAATCGGCTTCCCTTTACGTTATGCGTAAAATAACCCAAAATTTATTTCACTTGCTTAAGGAATATTATTCGCAGATTTAAAACATAAACGCATCTAGAAAAACGTTGTGTTTGGAAAATACCCAACGACATATATTGAAAAGTGTGATTTAGGACATAACTTTTATATAGGTTTTTTTTATCAAATGCAAACATGAATGTGTTTGCTTTCTAAAATGTTTTAACTACCCATAACTATGTTAGTCTGTTCTTATTATATTCAAATGTTTCGAAAAGCCATTGACTGGATTCTGTGTCGCAAACACGTTTTACAAGCATTACTAGTCCATTCCTGCCTTTCCATCAAAGTGGGAGCACAAAAAGAAATCCACGAGAACTGAATTCCGCGTAGTTGTCCGACTTTTTATCTCTTCGAAGTAAACACATTTGCGGTAATTAAGAAAACAAAGTAAGATAGACTTAAATCAGTAAACCAGTTGGAACGACAGTTGTCGCCGCACGGCGTCTGTTGGATTTGTCGTTTAGAAAAAAAAACTCGATTCTACTATGTTTTTTTTTCTTGTTTGTTAAATACCGTACTAAGAACTTCACTAGTTGTCTTGTCTTCTATGTTCATTACTTATAATCCCGTAAATAAAAAAAACAAATTCTTTAGTTATAATGAAGTGCAAAATATGTTAACAAAATAAATCAAGCAATAATTTATTCTAAAAAGTTAATCTAAAAGCTGGACTAAATTATATACAATCAATCTAACATCGGATAGAAACTATTATAAAAATATAAATATTGCAATAAAATCAACAAAAAGTTATTACGTATTATTAAAACCATTCATATTTATAAAACATGGCAACATTTTTACAATAAAAAGCGCGCTTCACACCAGGATCAAGTAACAACTAACCAAATTCATATTCAAGTCGGCGATCAACCATGTGAAAAGTTTAATTACCGTCATAAATATAATAAAAAGATAAATAATTTAATCGAATATACAACGATCGGCACTCTTAAATGATTTTCTAATAATTCATTAATAAAGAAACGTTCGTGTGAGACGGCAGTGCTCAGTGGCTGCGTGAAGTTATACAAAAAGCGTGGCCACTAACGAGATGAGAATCACTAAGACGCCATGAAACGTTTTTCGCAAGTACCAGCATGCCACCGATCCATTGTGAATTTTGTCAATTATCGGACTAGTCATTTTAAAAACGATGATAGAAGTGCTTTAAAAATAGTGTCTGCAATGCTACAAATCAAAATCTTAATGATGAGTAGATGGATATTTGCTAGAAGGTATTTCCAAAACGGCTTAACGGATTTCCATGAAACTTGGCATATATGTAGAACATTATCTGGAACACACAAGCTACTAATTAAGTTTTTTTTTCTTCCGCACAAACGGAGTCGCAAGTACACCTGGTAAGTTGCAGATGTCCATGGGTGTCGTTGATCACTTCAGTGTTCCCGCGGATCGTTTGCTTTTAAAAAAAGTTTCTCTTATAAAAAAAAAGTCATAAATCTACGAAGTCAAATTGTAAACGAATAAATTGCCTTCATACTAAACCCTAATTTTATATATGTTACTATAGATTAATTTTTTAGTAGCATTATTAATTACGTTAAGTTGTCAATAATTCGTTCTCAAATTGCTATTGAAGTTTGCTAGTAAAAGTACAATCTGACGGTGTTTACAATCTGGCGGTGACGTTATATGCGGTAGGTGAATGAGCTTGCATGGACGTACAGTTGTCTTTACCGTTTGTCTAATTCTAGCCGCTACCATAAATGTATATTCTCAGAATATTGAACATGTCGTGTATTTCCTCAAGTCTCTTGTATCTGAGGGCGCGGCAGTGCCCCCGTCTTTTATGAGCACAGCTGAAACTTATTTTTCTCGAAATTAATCGGATTTCGGTCACGTGTTTTCGAATATAACTTGTCATGTGTCAGTGTGTTGGCGTTCAAAAGGTTAATTTACCGTGGATTTCTGACACCTAAATGTATAAAACATATCCCTGTCTTTCATCTTTGACAAAACAGTTATAATACGTTTTAAACGAAGACTTTGGCCTCAGAAACCAACAGTTAATTGGGTAAAGTAAATACAGAACACTATGTCTACGTGCACGTGCTTTCGTTTTGTGCTCGCAGTAAAATTCGCAAATAATAAAAAAACAAAGTAATTGTAAATATTTTTTTCTTTCGTAAAATACAATAATGTAAAAGCAATTTATCTTTTATAAAAATTTTGACGAATGACGAATTAATTTTCCAAATCTATAGTTATATTGAATAATCCCTTGTCCAAGTCTGTGACTATTTGATAGTTCCACTTGTCATCGCCGCTCACTTCGCGTGGATATTTCTGAAAAAAAAATAACACAAACAAAATAATTAACCGTGGGTTTCTGAGACCGAAGTCTTTATATAAAACATGTCATCATCCCTGTCATTATCTATGACAAGACAATGATAATATGTTTTAAACGGAGATTTTGGACTCGGAAACCCACAGTAAGCTCTCTCAAGATGTTTTATTAATAAAAGAATGTAAAGTTTTAAACAACCCTAAAAATTAATAGATCTACCAATACAGTAGTAAACCATATTTTATTTACGACTCTAACCGTGGGGTTCTAAGACGAAAATATCGGTTTATAACATATTGTCTCTATTTTATCAGAGATAATGACAGGGATAAAGATATATTTTAGTCTCAGAAAAAACCGTAAACAATCTAAAATATAATTTCTTACTGTCTCCAGATTACATACTTAAGTTACGTTAACCAATAAGTTAAACATTTGAATAACTTACCAGTATCTTAACAGCCTGCCGTGTGTGGGAGTCCCAGTCAACCCGGGCACCAACTGACGGCCATTCCGTGGGTCCGCAGCTGACTGGCTTGCCGCCCACTGACCAGCTCATCCACACCGCGAACCCATTCATTGGCTGACGTTCATCTGTCTCTACGTCCCTGATAAGTATATTAATATTTAACACTTTAACTGCCAGTTAGGGGTAAAAGGGCCCTCATGCAATATTAGACTCAGCGGTGAGAGTGTTATATAAATTTCTAAACAAATTTCGATGGCTCCCAAGTAAACTACACATTAACACGGTTAATTACGACTACTTACTGTTATATTTACACAGAAATTTATCAAGTTAATTTAAAAAACAATACAGCGAGTAAATAATAAAATTGTGGCTTACCACAATCAAAAAAGATGTATGGCGTTATTCCTATGGATGTATGGACGGATATTTGTTAAAATAAAACTTGGCATAGATGTAGAAATTAATCTAGAAGAACACAAAGGCTTCAAATTATTTTTTTTTATTCCACGCGGACAGAGCCGCGGGCTAAAGCTAGTTATATTTCATATTGACGATATTCTATAATTACGTCACCATCGAGCAATATTTAAGATGACACTCACGTGAAACTATTAACGCCATCTGTGGCCAACTTCGGCTTGAGATCTTGGAAGTCGAGGGCGAGCAGCTTGCGCGGCAGTCCCCGGCAGGTACATGGGTACTCCCATAACGGCTGCGCTTCTATCTCCACATCGCTTAGTATCCTGGAACTCTGGAAGACAATGGTGATGATCGTAAGCTCTAATTTAAGTATCAGTTCGATAACATGGTCAAATGTACCAAGTTCAAAAATCATACTGGCATTTAAAGTGTTAAAATTGCAAGTAATTTAGCAAATTCTTAAACCATTGGTTACCAATTACTTGTGAGTTTATTTAGGGTCTTTGAAATGTATGATACTGCTGTATCCCAAAATTCCGTCCGTATGTAGCCTCTTGACTATGTTCTATATTAATGTCAAATTTCAACAAGATCCGTTCAGCCATTCTGGAGATACCTTCAAACAAACAACCATCCATTCGGTTTTATTATATTAGTAAGATTTTGTTTTGCTATTAATTTTCTATTTTTAATTTTCCTATAGATCTTAATTTCACTTCTTTAACTTGACAATACAAACCTCAACTAGTTGATCAAAGATAGTCATATCGATTCCTTCGCACACTTCTAAAGGTACTCGAATCTTATGTAAATCGAGAAACTCAACCGGCATCGCCCAGAATTCACATCCCTCAGGTATTATAGAAACTATATCTCGTAATTTACTTCTGTACTTATGTAACAGATATGCTACTTTGAGATTCTCCCAAGGAAGTATTGCATTACTAAAATTTGGATCACAAGTTACATTTGTAACCTCTTTCAAAATATCATCACTAACGTCCGATACAATCGTTACATTTTCTAGAAAATTCTCTTTCATATAGTCATATAAGATTCCTATATTCAAACTCTTATCTTCCAAAATAAAAACATGTTTTGCACCAAGTTTAGCCGCTGCCAGACCCAACAAAGAGCTTCCATTCAGATCCAGAACTACAGCATCTCTGACCAATTCTTCTTTAAGCCGTGCTAGAAATTTTTTGCTTCTTTTACCATCGTTTAAATATGATACATGAGTTCTTGATAATGTCATATGAACTCCGCATTCACAGACTGGTCTTTTGTAATGTTTATGTTTGGTCTTTCCGTCTTCTAAGTAGAACCAGAGGGAGTATTCATCTTGACATGAGATTAGAGTGACTTCAGTGTCTTTTTGCACTGTCAGTTCTTGTGGGAGATAGTAGACTGCTTGCATCCAATGGTCACGCCATGGTAGAGTGTCCTGTGGTCTTTCTGAAGACAAATCTGTATCCGTATGACACCACCAAGGTGCACAACTTAGTACTATTTTACCTGTAACAAATTATATTTCTTGTAACAAAACATTATTTCATATATGCAGTTATTCAAATTAAATTATAACAAAAATATAAATTATCCTTAAGAATAACAGTAAATACTAATTCTGTCTATCTCACTAAATATCTACAATTAAAATGTTTGTCTGTCCATAAGTCATGTCTGTTCCGGGTAAACTCTGATAGAATGATATTGACGGGACATTCAATAAAATTATCTGATTGCACTAGTGACCTGGACTTATTTATTTAATACAATCAAAATTTAACAAAATATTTACGCCTCGCTGCAACAGGAGCGTCGTGCTTGCTCGCGCGAGTAGTGCCAGACGGGAGCGGGAACAATTTAGCGGGATAACGCAAATTCTTTTGTTTCGGAGTGCGAGTAATTTTACAGATTTTGCTATCTGTAGAAACATTTAATTATTTATACTGAAACTACTTATTTTAACCATAGAATCTATTGCGGACACATTAATATATACCATAGACAGCCTTTTTTTTCTATCATAAGGTGGCAAACGAACAAGCCACATTAAGTCTCCTTAATAGAGAAGTGACAACTGCCAATGAACATCAGCAATTACAGATTTATTGCCTACCTTTAATCTATGGAGAAGGGAATGCAGAGAAAGACAATATTTCTCCCTTCTATGCATCCTCTCCCCCGTCAAATCTACTTCCTCTTACATATCGTTATAAAAAAGGGTGACAAGGGAAAGGGGACTAAAATTAGGCCACCGACATACTTTTAAGATTAAATACAAAATTGCTTCCACTTCATACCTGTCTCTTTCTAAGAAAATTAAAGAAATTAAAATATGTACCACTATATAATGGTCATCATCATCATCAACCTACCCTTATCCCTATCGAGGGTCGGCACAGCATGTACTACTCCTCCATACATCTCTATCAGCCGTCATATCCGAGTCTACCCCCTTCTTACGCATATCCTCTTTCACACAGTCATTCCATACTCACTATCACTGTCACTATATAATGGTAGAAGTAAAATAATATTCACCTTCAGTATCCATATTCAGTTCCCACCACATGAACACCATCTGTGCTTTCCCCGTATTAGTTACTGTAAACTCTTGTCTGACAGTCTTCTTAAGATCAATAGGAGTTTTACCAGACCAGTCATAGTAGAATACAGGTATTTGTTCAGAGAGTTCACGGAATGCTTTACGTGGTAGTTGAGATAGTTGTATGTCATGAACTGCAGCTGAACCGGCGCAGTCTTTCATCTGAAATATAATTTTTATATAAATCTCTTAATAAGACATTGATTCTACAAGTCAGGTGATGATCAAAATTGTAGCGTCTAGCTGAAGGATTTGATTGAAATTTCAAATATCACTAGAAGCAGTGTTTTCAAAAAGTAGCTGTGGAATGCAACTCCGTCTGCGTCAAATTAAAAAAATATTATAGTAGCCTGTGTATTCTTCCAGGCTATGTTCAACATCTATGCCAAACTTCAGCGAGACCCATATAGCTGTTCTGGAGATACCTTCATACAAACATCCATCCATCCATCTAAAATTTCACATTTATAATATTGGTAAGATAAGGTATAGATGACATATTGCAATAAAAGTAATTAATTATAATGCAATAAACCTTTTGTGGTGTCCTCAAGATAATATCTAAATCTTCATCGGCTAAATCATTTAATTTATTCCATTTCTGCATTGTGGGACATTCAACAACTTGTGCGTAAATCACCGCAGAGTCCGGCACCACAATACAATCGTTCTCCAAAAGATGTTCATGTGCATGTGTAAATGTTGAAAGTGCACCTAAAATAAATAGGTTACAAACTTAAATATATACTTCTACGATTATTCAATTATTAAAATTGACTTTGACAATGCTAAAAAGCTTTTCAATCTAAACAAGATGCATGATTGATGTAAAGAATTTAAATCCAAGACTACACTTATTAATTTTAATACTTCATAAATTGAGTAGAGAGTGTTGGTGGATCAGGGGTTGAGCACTTGACTTGCAATCTGCAGGTCTTTAATTCAAATCCTGTCATATACCACTGTGTTTTTCGATTTACATATATACATTTATCTGATGTTCTTACGGTGAAGGAAAATATCGTGATGCAACCTAAACATATCTGAGAAGAGATTCAAAGATATGTGTGAAGACAACCAATACCGAGATAGTGATAGCCAACCGGCTATGGCCTCATCACCCTTAACTTAGGGTAGACTCTGAGCCCCTCTGTGGGAATGGTATAGTAAGCTGATGATAAACTTAGTTGTATGTTATAAATGAATATATGTACCTTCACCAATCAATTCAGTATCAAAGACTTCAGTAACTAAGATATTTGCCTTCTCTTTCATATCTCCGTTCTCACCAACAATAATATCAGTTGAACGCTTCGGTATGAGAGTTATTTTGTCAGCAACATTGTTACGTTGCAATATTTTAAGACAGCACTCAGCCATAGGTTTAAATGCTTCACATGCAACAATAGAGTCAGCACCACATTTCGCTGCCATTATAGAAAGAAGACCTGTTCCTGTGCCTGAAATTTTTTAAGAGTTCCAGAATCATTAAATTGAAAGAAAAAACCTGATGCTACAGGATTAGAATGTCTCTTCAAAGTGTATTTTAATAAGGTTTTATTAATTAACAATGATAATAAATTATATTAAAATATTTTTAGTTAGAATCTCTTGTATATTTATAAAGTTTAATAATTAGACTTACCTATATCCAAAACATTAGCTTTCTTTCCTTCACTATGCATCTTTTTAATAGCTAACCGTAATGCTCTATAATACTTTTGATTTCTCTCTTTATCATGAAGCATGTCAGCAAACCCTGAACGCGCAATCTCTTGATGGTAATCATAATTTTCATGTTGTAATTCCCATTCAGTACTTCCCGTTATGGGATTACGCTTTTGAGTGAAAACTTGCATAGTTTTTGTAGTACAGCCTTTAAATCTATAACAATTAAGGTATATCTACTTAAATAAAATAAGGTAATATGTAATTAAAATAATATTGATTCCTCTCCACTAGTTATCAGGTTATATATGTACTATTTACCGGTATCCCAAACCTTGTTGATTTCTCGGCAGATAATACTTACCTTACAACGAAAGACAATGCAATACTAATTTTATATGACTGTAAGACTGAAAACATTTAATAACACAATTATATTTATTTATTCATTCAATCGTCAATTGTTTAATCCATTAAATATTAAAAAAAAATAATGTGACCAATGCCGAAAAATTTGACACATTACCTGATTCACTGACACTGACATTGACAGTGAACGATTTTGCATAGATAAATTACATTACGCTTTTAAAATAAAAAAAACCTGTTGGAATTAAAGAAAATTAGAGATTTTTCTATTATCCCAATTCAGTTTTATACTCATTATCATTACCCATCCATGCTATCTTATAACCCATCTCATCATTCCCTAACTGGCCCATTTGGTTATGTGGGGTGATTGCATTTATTCTACGGCTCCTTTTCATTTCGTATTTTTCGTGATGGCAGTTATGTTGTCATAGTTGTCATTCAAATCTTTCATTACGACGTTTTGCTATCATGGCGGCCACCGTCGGCAGGATTTGTGGGGCTCGACTTTTGAAAAATTATGGCTTAGTTGGACCCCAGGTATACGTAATATATAAAAATTACGTTTTATGCTTAAAATAGCATTAAAAACAGAGTTTTGAGTAACCAAATTTTAAAAATATATGAAAACGTAAACCTTGTGAATTTAATGTAAAACGGGTGTATTTCACAATTATTATAAGTTAGACTTTGCTAAATGTGGTGAAAAATGTGGCTCAATATAACGTATGAGATCTTGCGTTAGCTCAGTGCTGTAATAGAATTTCATGGCGAGTGATAACCTTCTAACATTATGTAACAAGTGCAGAAAACTAATGGACCCTCTGCATTACAGGTATGTCAGCTGTCCACCAATGCTCAAGGATGGACCAAGAGTAGGAAATTGGTGAGTCTAGATTTTTACATGTTTTCCTACAATTAAAATTACACGTACGTAACCTCTGTGTTAAGTCAAAATTACGTATTTTATGACATATTGAGACGGTGATCGCTCATAACTAACTGAGTCTTTTATGTGAAATAATGTAACTATATTATTGTCACAGTTTTTTTTTTAAGTTTAAGATAACAGATAAGAATAAACAATCTAATATGTTCATGAAAAAAATTATATACTTAGAACTTTTGTACACTTGTTTTCAGCTTCTGTCGACATTAGGTGTAATAGGTGGTGGCGCTGGGGCTCTGCTGTTTGCCCTTGAGCAGTCTGTTGATGCATCGGGCACTGAGGCCCATCCATACCATCAGCCGTGGAGCCACAATGGGTTGTTTCAAGCACTCGACCATGCCAGGTAAATTATTAATATACATTTTTCAATCAATTACTCAATTTCATGAACAAGTGTGGACTGTTAAATATTACATTGAAATATTTAATTTAAATATTTTTCCAAACTTAAATCTCTACTGTAAATGATATAAAAAACCAACATCCAATTAAATTAAAAGGAAACATATATGTATAAAGTCTAATAAATAATAAAACCTCTTTAATTCAAGAGCTAATTATTTTAAAATATCCCAACTCTGAAAAAAAATATGACTTAAAAAATGGAGCATTGCATAAGCATTTAATAGAAAAAGTCTTGTTACAATGTTAATGTATAAACATGACTATTTATAAAACAAATAAAATAGTAGATAAATAAATATCCAATATGAATCCTTAGTTAGCTTGACAAGGTTCTAAATACATGTGACATACATTCAAGTTATTGATTTTTAATTTGTCATATATTGAGTTAGTGTGTCATATTACATAATATGAAATGTAGTTTTTGTGGACATGCAATTAAATATAACTGAACACATTTCTGCTGTAATCTGATACAATTATTACATTCAATATGTAACAATTATATCATGTCTTTTAAGAGTGGTAGAACCCGCTTTAATATCTTCGCACGAATTGGCCAGGTTCACCCGGTGAAATACCACCACCACACAGAAAACAGGCGTGAAGTGAAAGCAATTCCGCGTTTCGTCTGATGAGTGTAGGTCCCGGAGGCCTAATTTAGTCCTCTTTCCCTTCCCACCCTTTTCTTATAAGGAAAGGATGGGAAGTGGAAGTGGACTTTCCGGATGAGAGAATGCATGGAAAGGGAAAATATTTTCTTTCTGTGCATCCTCTCCTCCGTCGATTAAAGGTAGGCAACGCATATGCATGCACATGCCGCTCGCTTGTTTGCCACCTTATGATATAAAAAACTAAATTTTATTGTTAAATAATCTATCTTAATGTACATTACTGGATTTCAATTATGCTCATAGTATGACATTTTTTGACCCAATTATGTAATCTCTGCAGCATTGAAAATGTTGAATGTTTTTGAATGTTGCCATCAAACTGACTTTCAATTTTAATGGAGGCTTAAAAGGCGTGTTTATGACAACCTGCAAATAACCCCCATTTATGGTTAACCCAATTAGGAGATATAAAAATGTTGTTCATGCGATATTTAAAAAAATTATTATTAGTAGCCTATGTGTTCTTCCAGACTATGTTCTACACCTATGCCAAATTTCAATAAGATCATACACCCTTGAGATACCTTCAAACAAACATCCATCCATCCAAATATTTGTATTTCAAATATTAGTAAGATATATTCTATAACACCTTTTGATGGATGGAAGTGCAGATGAAACCAGTGCATTATTGAGTTTTATTTATTTCTAGTGTGCGCCGTGGTTATGAAGTATACAAGCAGGTGTGCAAGGCTTGCCATTCATTACAATATGTGGCATTCCGTAACCTGGTAAATGTCACACACACCGAGGCAGAAGCTAAGGCTGAGGCTGCTGAGGTTTGTAAAATAATTATATCTTCTTATTTAAATTGCTGTAGTGTTTGCCTTTGTCTTCATCAATTTATAATTTTTTATTAAATGTCATCAAAAGCAGTCTAGTTATGCTGATTATCCGGAACAAATGTGCACAGCCAAATACTAATGCACACCTTTTGAAGTTACACCAATGTTTATTTCATTAGAAAAATGTTCACAAACTTTTGTAACATCCTGTTCTAGTTTCCTAATTATAAAATATGTTAAATGTAAATAAATCATAATTTTATCACTCATTCATTGTCTACACCATTGTACCTATAACTTAATCTATTAGTACATAACATTTTAATAATTTCTTTAATTTTTTATTTAGGTAATGATCAAGGATGGACCTGATGAGGAAGGCAACTACTTTGAGAGACCCGGCAAGCTCTCCGACTACTTCCCCTCGCCATACCCCAACGAAAATGCTGCCAGAGCTGCCAATAACGGTAAACATAATATTTTCAATAATTTTACCAACATCGGTTATACGGATTTTTTACAGAACCACTATCTGTCGCCCGCGACGCTGTCCGCGCGGAATAAAAAAAAATTATGAGTAACCTAACCTATATGTTCTTCTAGACTATGTTCTACACCTGTGCAAAATTTCATAAAGATCCATTAAGCAGTTACGGAGATACCTCCAAACAAACATCCATCCATCCATCTAAAAATTCGCATTTATAATATTTTGAACGAAAGATACAGATTTTAGTCAGTAACTGTTGGTTATACATACATACACCGTTAATATTAGAGGAAAACTGGATTAGATCAAGTGCACTAGACTGAGCTAATGGATGCATAATATGCCTATAGACTGGAAAGTGATATAATATTAAAAAATATTTTAATATAAACAACTTATAATTCCAGGTGCCTACCCACCGGACTTATCTCTGATCGTGCTGGGCCGCAAGGGAGGTGAGGACTACATCTTCTCGTTGCTGACGGGTTACACAGAGCCACCTGCAGGCGTTGTGTTGCGCGAGGGACAGAACTACAACCCATACTTCCCTGGTGGAGCCATCGCTATGGCACAAGTACTTTTTGATGAAGTAAGTAAAAAATATATTATTTTAATATTATTAGTTTATGAGGATAATGGGAATGCACTGTGGTAACAAATAAAATCATATGTAATGGTAAAAGATTTTAGACGTAAATGTGAGAGTTGTGCCAGGATTGCGTCAACTTAAATTTCATATTCTCTGCATATCCTTTTGTGTAAATGGCGAGAGGGTTATGTCAGGGATTGTAACAAATTTTATATGCACAAAGAATTCAGAAAAATCTTTTAAGGCCATCTATAACTTGCTGTTCACTGTGCTTTTACAATTACTTATTTAATTATTTTGAGAAATGTTTTTGAAAAGATGTACAAATGTAAATATTTTTTTAGGCTGCGGAATACAGTGACGGCACGCCGGCGACCGCCTCGCAGCTTGCCAAGGACGTGTCGACGTTCCTGCGCTGGTGCTCGGAGCCCGAGCTGGACGACCGCAGGCTCATGACTATCAAGGCCATCGGCATCTTCTCCACGCTCGCCGCCATCGTCTACTACTACAAGCGGCACAAATGGAGCACCCTCAAGTCCAGGAAACTAGCTTACAAACCAGTATCTAAGAAATAAATACCGCTAAAACAATGAGTAGTAACAAATTGTACCGTTTTAGAAACTTTTTTTTTCTATAGGCACAAGACGTGTATTTGTTTATAATTAAATTAATTTATTTCATAAATAACAATGTTTATTTCTTTCCTGGAAATATGCAATCATGTAGATTTTGACGTCTGTTACCATGTTGTTGACCTAACAAGAACTGTTGTGGGATGTGATTTTATTATAAATAATTAAATAATGTTAGACAAATGCCATCATTATAACACAGTCAAATTAACTTTTGAATTTAGTTAATGTGCTAAGAACTGTGCTTGTGATGTTCTATGGGTTAAACTGAATCAGTGTACAGTTGAATAAATGAGTTAACCAAAATATAACAAATGGTCTTTTATTGGTTTAATATTCTGAACTATTAAAGAAAGAATTTAAGACTGTAAATTATTCAGATTAGTACTTAAGCAAAACTTCACTATAATTAACTCCACTCCTCGCTTTAAGTTTGCGTTCTTCTGTCCATGGACATTCCACAATTCTCACAAATACATTGTTCTTGCTGCAAGTGACGGTCGTGGTTCTGGTCTCATTTCGCACTTCCTAAATAACTACTATAAATGAAAACTTTAAGGTAATAGGTTCCACGTGTCAAGTGTCCTATAATTCCACGAAAAG